TATGGGTGTGTCAGCTCTGTATGAGCTCCATACAGGTGTGCCAGCCCTTGCCCAGGTGTGCCAGCCCCGCCCAGGTGTGCCAGGGCAGTGCCAGGGCGGTGCCAGAGCGGTGCCAGGGCGGTGCCAGAGCGGTGCCAGGGCAGTGCCAGGGCAGTGCCAGGGCGGTGCCAGGGTGGTACCAGGGCGGTACCAGGGCAGTGCCAGGGCGGTGCCAGGTGGGCGCCGTGCCCGCCCCCCTCACCTGGGCGCTGCTGTTCCGGGACAGGGCCTTGTAGATCTCGTCGATGTTGGTGGCCACGGCCTCGAAGCAGGAGTTGAAGCGGTCGAACCTCTCCTTCTTCATCTGCTCGAACGCCTGCTTCGCCTTCTTGGCGCGTTTGCGCGCGGCCTCGAACTCTGCGGGGCACGGGGGCACCTCAGGGGTGGCCTCGTGTCCCCTGTGTCCCCTGGGCTGGAGTCACACACAGAGGGGACCTCAGGGATGGCCCCGTGTCCCCTGGGCTGAGGTCACACATGGGGGGACCTCAGGGATGGCCTCGTGTCCCCCGTGTCCCCTTGGCTGGAGTCACACACTGTCCGTGTCCCCCCGCTCGTGTCCCCTGTGTCCCTTTGGCTGAGGTCACACATGGGGGGACCTCAGGGGTGGCCTCATGTCCCCTGTGTCCCCTGGGCTGGAGTCACACATGGGGGGACATCAGGGATGGCCTCGTGTCCCCCGTGTCCCCTTGGCTGAGGTCAAGCACAGGGGGGACATTGGGGACATCCCACGGTCCCCGTGTCCCCTTGGCTGAGCTCACACATGGGGGCACCTCAGGGGTGGCCTCGTGTCCCCCGTGTCCCCTGGGCTGGAGTCACACACTGTCCGTGTCCCCCCCCATCCATGTCCCCCGTGTCCCCTTGGCTGAGGTCAAGAAAAGGGGGGACACTGGGGACATCCCACAATCTCTGTGTCCCTCGTGTCCCCTGGGCTGGAGTCACACACTGTCCGTGTCCCCCCCCTCGTGTCCCCCGTGTCCCCTTGGCTGAGGTCACACACAGGGGTGTCCCATGGCCCCTCGTGTCCCACTGTCTGAGCTCACACATGGGGGGGACACTGGGGACATCCCACGGCCCCCATGTCCCCCGTGTCCCACTGGCTGAGGTCACGCCCTGTCCCTGTGTCCCCCCCCATCCGTGTCCCCCATTTTCCAGTGTCTGAGGTCACACACGGGGGGGATCTCAGGGATGTCCCACAGCCCCCTTGTGTCCCCCGTGTCCCACTGGCTGAGGTCACACCCTGTCCCTGTGTCCCCCCCCATCCGTGTCCGACCATGTCCCAGTGTCCAAGGTCACACACTGGGGGGACACCAGGGACACCCCATGGTCCCCCCGTGTCCCCCGTGTCCCCTTGGCTGAGCTTACGCATGGGGGGGGATCTCAGGGATGTCCCACGGCCCCCCGTGTCCCCTGTGTCCCACTGGCTGAGGTCACACATGGGGAGGACATCAGGGATGGCCAATGGCCCCTTGTGACCCCCATGTCCCCTTGTCTGAGGTCACACACGGGGGGGACACTGGGGACGTCCCATGGCCCCCCGTAACCCCTGTGTCCCCTTGGCTGGAGTCACACGGGGGGGGGACATCAGGAATGTCCCACGGCCCCCCGTGTCCCCTTGGCTGAGCTCACACAAGGAGGGGACATCAGGGATGTCCCATGGCCTCCATGTCCCCTTGGCTGGAGTCGCACACTGTCCCTGTGTCCCCCCATCCAAGGTCTCCTGAAGTTTGCCCTGGACACTGTCCCTGTGTCCCCCCATCCAAGGTCTCCTGGAGCTCATCCTGGACCCTCTCCCGTGTCCCCCCCATGTCCCCCATCCGTGTCCCCCCATCCAGTGTCTCCTGGGGCTCATCCTGGACACTGTCCCTGTATCCTCCTGTCCGTGTTCCCCATGTCCCCCCATGTCCATGTCTCCCCATCCAAGGTCTCCTGGGGCTCATCCTGGGTACTCTCCTGTGTCCCCCCCCTGTCCCCCCCATGTCCATGTCCCCCCATCCAGTGTCTCCTGGAGCTCATCCTGGACCCTCTCCTGTGTCCCCCCATCCGTGTCCCCCCATTTCCAGTGTCTCCTGGAGCTCATCCGTGTCCCCTCTCCCGTGTCCCCCTGTCCATGTCCCCCCTGTCCGTGTCCCCTCTCCCGTGTCCCCTCTCCTGTGTCCCCCTCTCCCGTGTCCCCCCTGTCCATGTCCCCCCCATCCGTGTCCCCTCTCCCGTGTCCCCTCGGTGTCCCACCGTCGGAGGTCTCCTGGAACTTGTCCCTGACGCTCTCCAGTTTCTCCATGGCCTTCATGTTGGGGGCCGCGATCCTCTGCAGGACACTCTGCTGCTCCGTGAGCCGCTGCTGCAGCGCCGACATCTCCTGACGGATCTCCTCCTCCGCCTGCGCGTCCTGGCACCAGGGAGGGGACACACGGGGCGGGGCCGTCAGGGCGGGGTCCATCAGGGGTGGGGCTCCCTCAGGGCGGGGACACACGGGGCGGGGCTCCCTCAGGGCGGGGTCCATCAGGGCGGGGACACACGGGGCGGGGCCGTC